TCCTCCGAGTCTGACCAGGATGTAGGTCTCCCTTGGATATTCGATGCGCTCCACTGAGTTTCTCATTTACTCCCTTGTTTTAGAACCGGTTTTATTATAACATCGTCATACCGAGAGGGTGAGAGGGCATCGTAGTAGCGTCACGGATAGCGTACTGGCCAGGTAGGGGAGTGCAGGGTACGAGTCCCGTCTGTGGTCAATACTTTTGCATTCAACTGATTGTGAGCGAGCAGGAAATTTTCACCAATATCCCTTCATATGGACTCCACTACGGCTAAGATGGCCTAGTGGCAAGTGGCGCCGCATATAACGCACGCAATCTTGGGTCATATCGGCACCTACTCCTACTCTGCACGTTGCGCCGTGATCCTTCATTTCGACAGTAAATTGGCCAGTAGAATGGAACCAGATTTGTTTGGGAAGATAAGAACACTGGCTATAACATCGGCAGGTCTCTGCAAGTCGTGTTACAGGTCAAACGGCAAATCCCTGTAGTGCTTAATAGAGCGTCGGGACAATGTGTCCCTGCACGGGTTACATTTTGGCGCGGCTCAACACCGGTGTCACCTCACCTGCCTTTTCTACTATGTGACGGGAAGCCGTTGATCGCTATGGACGGTATATGATATCCTACTCAACTGAGTGCTAGCGAAAGAAGTCCCTACAAATCCCGAGATTTTAGTTTTCTTTGGGTATGCTATGCTAGATGATCAGATTTTCAGGACGAGTTCGATCAATTATTGAGTGAGAATGCTGACGCGCTCATTGTTATCGACTTCTATGCGACATGGTGTGGACCATGTAAAATCATGGGACCGAAGTTCACTGTGAGTATTCACTTCTCAACTAATTTGACTCTATCCGAACAGCCTCCCCACTCCCCACGGAATGGAATGGAGTTTATTTCAAAGGGTGATATAATCTCGGCTTGAGGAATTACCTTCGCCAGCAAAAAGGGGCGCATTCGTCATATGAAATCATTCAATAAGTACGATGGATCACTGTGCAACAGACTGTATTATCCTTTCGGATAAACTCCTGTCCCCGAGGTTGGGGGGGTGGGCATGACCGCATGAATCGTATGGGAGTGTTCACGATACATTTTTGAGGGCTGATTGCCTTGAGACAACTGTCATCCTATGTTGTGGTGGTTAAAGACATGACCAATGTTGTCCCAAAGTGGCAATATCCCACAATCACGCAGGAACCGCCACGTTCAGATGAACCATGCGCCCAGATCCTGCCCGTTACAGGGATAAGTTCTGCGTTGAACGAGTGAGGCGAGGCACTGGACAGCTTTATTGGCGATCACGTTCTCTTTGCAAATCCTAAGGAGAGGAGGCAGTAAGGGAAGTATCACGTTCTTGTTCCTCTCCCATCCATCAGAACGGGATTCAAAGGAAGTGGATACGATGGCTGAGGGGGGCAGTCACTGGAAACTTCAGTGGAGGGCTGAGTGAAATTGGCTAAACGTCCTTTCGCAGCCCTTCCACCAATTACTTTGGCAGTAACCACCCCCTTCGCCTTTACGAACGTCCTGATGTGCGCGGGATGGACCTTCTTATGGGTCATGGGTAATGTAAAGGTTTTCAAAAAGAAGTGACACTAAAAAGTCACTAAAGTAACACTAATAGAAATTCCACTATCTCACTCAGGCACACTTTTCAGAAGATGTCAACTGAGCATCCGTCGGTGGTTTTCGTCAAGATTGATGTTGATGAAACCGTAGGTTCCCAGAAATCAGCATTTTCTAGAATTTTTCGATTTCTTCGAATGCCTCATTAAAAATGTTCCAGGAAGATGTCGTCTCACGTTTCGATATCAAAGTAATGCCCACATTCATTTTTATGCGCAACGGAGCACAAATTGTGAGCAATTCAATTGTATTTGGAATTCCACTAATCCTTTATTGACTATTTTGGAGGAAAAAAGATTAGAGCAACACTACTAGAAAGGAGAGGTGTCTCCTGTTGAGAAAGCCGAAGTGAAATCTGGATCGGAAGGATTTGAAAACTCACTGGGGAACAAGACGAGCGCTTAAAAGATTAGACGAGAGACAGCAGATTTCGAGTCCTGTCTGGGTCATGACATTTTGCTGCAGCGAACTCAGCATTTACGATAGATTTCTCGGAGCGCGAATTGCAGCGTTAAACAGCGGTTATTATACTAAAAAAACTTAGAACAATTATGTTTTCATTTAATGCACTGCCACTTTCAGGACATCGTCGAAGGCAGTCTTGAGGACGATCTGCGTCGAAAAATCGAACAACACAAGTGAAATAATCCAGACAGGGCTGTTGCTCAAACTTTGTGTTTTGGATGATTTCGTCGGTATGACCACAATAAGAGGGCTCTCATTTAATCGATGTACCGAGTATACATGTTGTGTTTTCAAGGACCCGGTCCATGATGATCGTGAGGGCGGAGACATAAAACGTCGTAATCTGCCACTAACACGTTGTTTGCTGTCGTCTAGGACAGAACATCCGCATTTGCGGACGCGAAGTAGGACGCCTATCAAAACGCGGAAATTACCGATTTGTCTTTGTTTTAGGACCCGGCGAACCGAAGTCCTTACTGTTCGTATACCCATCAAGCGGCAGTTTGCAGTGAACCTCCAGCTTTCTTCGTCACCGGAATCACCGAATCATCCAGCGCACAATCTCTGAGCAATTCCTAACAGCCATTTGATATTTTTTGATTAATATTCCATGTACTTCAGACCAGATTTTGGACTATTTTTATATGTTAGGCTTATTGTGGGAACTTCGCTTAGAATCATTGTGTAGGGATCAAATCGTCTGTTAGCGTTAGCATTCGTGCCATTAGTGATTGTTTACTCGGAACTGTGAAAGGCAGGTGATGGACGACTTAATCTTCTTTTATTCAGCGTCCTCCGACAGAAGTCCCTCGAGATCATCCACTAAAACAGATGTAGGGGAGTGAGGCGTTGATTCTGAAGCGCCTCCATTTCGTTGAAGATAAGGGAGGTAGGAGGTAAAGGGGGAGCCAAAACCTCGTATTCTAACTCAGCTAAAAGACACCTTCCACGAGCAAATGATCGGCTGACAATTGCATTGGCCGAGTGGCATTTGCAATGTTTTTGCAATCGCAGAAGAATAAGACCGAATTTCCTCACTCGAATTTCCGAGTGCAATCGTGTACTGTAACTCTGCAAGACAACGGCTTACAAGTGTGTACACAGCGTTGCCTGGAGCGACGTAGGCGCGATTTCTTGTGTTCTTGTCGGGAGTTGTTGCACTTTAAACACGCCCGCATGACAGAGCTACTGGGCTTATGTCCTCATGACTGATCTCGTCCAAGGGCGCCGCCCAACTGGGAAGTCTGTGCAATTAGGGCTGTTAAAAGTTTTTCCCCGCTTCTTCCCATGCGGATGAGTTTTTGATGGGCTACTGGTTCAGGACTGAGCACCTGCTACCTGTTACACTTGATCGCAGACTGTGCCTTCAAATGAGTTCCTTGAGCTACTGTTGTTTGGCATGATACCAGGCAAATCAGGTCTGATGCATTTGTATTGTTCGCATCCACAACCAACATACCTCTTCGGGACCGCGCTCATGGGAATATTAACGATGGCGTACTTAGGGTGTAACCTCCCCAGACAGACAACGAAGACTGGCTGTTTTCCACCAGCCTGGGAATAGAATTAGCCTTATTGTGCTATATGGGTTTTATACGAGGGAAGTTCTGACGAGTAAGGTTGGCATTCATACTTTGGGCGGGCCGCACTCAAGCGACCATCAGCGGCTGCTATGGGCGATTAGGAAGAATGAAGCATCGGATCTGGCGTCCACCAGGTGCCCATCAGCGTGCACTTGGCCACTGGCGACTGCAGCGTCCAATAGTAGAGAGTATAGAAGTAGTAGGTTAGCAGACAGATTATGTCGCGAAATTGCGGCGTGTGCAATCGCACCAGTGCATTGCTAAAGCACAGAATTATGCAATTCAATGTACGGTATAGTGTAGTAGCACAGTGCGGTTGCACACGCCGCAAATTTATGACGCCCTAGTCCAGCCGTCTTCTACCCTCATACTTCCCCATACTCTCTACCCTTCCCGGTCACCTGGGTGACGCTGGTGGATGCCGGCGCTCGTTATATCGATACCTATACTTTCCTAGTCTCTTGAGACGGGTGGTACACGCTGCCGCAAAGTATGAACACAGCCTCGGTGTCTCATGGGCTGGAGAAGTATGGACATTGATTTGCCGTTCACCAGCGTCCACCGGCCTGCACCAGCGACCATCAGCATGAGGGACTAGGAAAGCATGGATATTGAGATAGCGTCTACCAGCGTGGAAAACTGCAGCATGTGCAATCGCAGCGTACTAGTACCACGATACTGTAACTCTCGGACGCCTGGTGGAGCTCTGCCAGAGTATGACGCGCAACCTTTGAGCACAAATCGCACGCACAACGCTGGAGTTTTCCCTGCATAAACTGATGTCGTTGTAACAATCGACACAATAGATCAATTCTATTACATAGATACACACATAACATTTCTCTATATCATATAATACGTTAGAAGTATTTACAAAGGTACATATACAGATTACCCAGTTGATAGGCATTGTTTTCATACTAAAACAACCACAAAAAAAGAAAAAATCTGAAAAAAAGAAAGCCGTACTGAAAGCGTTCCTCGACACGACTGGAACGCGAGTATCACAGGAAAAACAAGCTGATACTGCTGCATGGTGGACAGACTGTGTGGGGGTCTTTTTAGCGTAAAGAATGATAGGAAGGGGCAGATTAATGTGATAAGAACAACTCTATGACTTGAGACAGGATTTGTCGCTCACGCACGTCACCCACCTTCAAACTATAGCTATCGATTTTGTCGCCCGGCAAATAAGGAAACAATCTTTCAAACAAAGAGTCTAAGGTTATTGGGAGTTGAGGGGTCGGTGGACTTGACTTGGCAGGGCTCACTTCCTTCTGGTTTGTACCTCAACGGAGTCAAAAAATTCACCAAACAACCGTCCGTCAAGAGGAAGGCTCTCGGCTGAACCCCACCACCCCCCCCCCCCAATTACTTTGATCTTAAAATAAACTATGGTTCAGCGCTCAAAAATTCGCTGAAAAATTCAAATAGGGCAGTGGGTGATGAAAGCGAATCCGTTTCGAAATGAATTTTTAGTCTATTCTTATTGAGCGTAAAGCCTACCGCGCTTAAAGTACAGCTATGGAGCGCGAGCGACAAATATTGATTTTATCGCGGTGTTACTGTGGTTGTTTCACCGGTGTGTACACGTAAACATCAACAACTTCGAGATTAGCGATTGACGCCTGGTCTTCTTTCGCGGCAATTCACATCCTGAGCCGGCAGTCATGAAACGTGCGCGACATGAAACCCAGAAATGGTTTAGAGCCGCGCCGCGACCGCGCCCGTCTCATGCCGGCGGCCACAAACTTGTGGGAAGCCATGGAAAATACCATGTCAAAGGCGTCAAACGACAATCTCTGAATGATACTGGATAAACTAAAAGGATAGGAGGTGATGTAAACAAAACAAATTTGGCGAATATAAATAATTGTGAAAACTATGTAGACCTAGAAAATCATGATGCAGTGCAGAGCTATGTAGGACGATATGCTCATGCTGCACCCTAAACAGACGAAATCGCTAAAGAGACTGAAAGCAGACTAGTAAACGATATCGTATTTACAAACAATAACTTGCAAAAACTAATCGACTTTTTCGAGTAAGAGGGCCAAAGCGGCCAGCTAGACAAGTCGCTGATCTCGTTCGCGCTGTGTAATCTTGCAAATGCAGTTCGGCTTGGAGGAGAGGGGGGAAGGGGAGGGGCAACGGCAACTCAGTACAGTCCATCTTGTAAAAACCGTAGAATCCCCATACCACCAAAGTGGCTCACTCAACATACCAAAGTGGTCCATGTCTGTACATTTAATGCCAGGCAAGAATTCACAGGTTAGTTAACAGGAATAGCAAAGTGCAAAATGCCCCCCCCCTCAGCCGATCAACGCCATCTTGTACATACATCGTAAGATAGGAACAAATCAACTAGAAAACCTTGATTGATGAGATAATTAGTAACTGTGCAGGGCGTGAGAAATTGTGATTAGACAACTGAGTGGGGGGAAAAAGGGGAAAACTCGTACTAATCGTCATCGAGAATGCGTCATCTGTCACATTTCATGCTCGTTTTGTGTTCATGTCATTTCTGCCACAGTGTACATCTCGTCCGCAATCGATGAGTGATAGTCGTCCAAGGAATCGTCACGACTTCGCATGGGTGACAGAAAAACCGGTGCACGACGAGCTCGTTCACGTGCCTCACTTACCGCTCGCCATATACGACACGTCGCTCCGCCACTGAAATGCTTCCGATTTAGTGAGCGTTTATGAGGAAACTCGTCCTCTCTGACTGATCATAAATCAAAGGTTAAGTGAAAGCTCATCCATTCCCTACCGTCCATTTTCCGACCATAGTTATGAGAACGAGTTCTCATTTCAAGACACGTTCCACGCTGGCCGTATGGTGGAATCGGGCCACCATCGTGCCTTCTTCACTAACCGAGCCTTGTCCTTACCATCACAGAGATATTTGGTGACCGGTCCCGCCCACACCAAGGGCGTGAAATGTGCACCCACACTCGCGCAAACTTGCTTGCATCGACGACAATGGGTCGAGAAATTCTTTTCCTTCTAATTTGGCTGGCAATTATGTTAACTGTGGCCAGGGAAAACTCGTCCGCTTCCATGCAGTCGAGGAGAACTCAAGTACACTCGCTTTCGCTGCAGATGCTGGGGTGTGTCAGGAGGCTGAAACTGGAGCGGTGCCAGCAAATTCTTCACCACTTAGAAGCAGGCAAGCGACAACAGTTGGTGAGGGACGGGATGTCAGGAGCGGATTTGGCACGACGCCAGCCCTCCTGACACGTCCCAACGTCTGCAGCGGAAACGAATATATACGATACAGGCTGTCTGAGCATGTTTCAGCTGAATTTGTCATAGAAAAGAAAACTCACGCCACGCCTAAAGCCAGCAGTTCTTCTCTGGTAACATATTCGAACATATCCTGTTTTGTATACTGTTCGGCAACGATTAAACGTATTGATCGTTCATCGATTTCCAGCGTACGCAACCAGTTGATCAATTCTTCGGTAGCTCTGAATAATGTGAATCAACTGGTTTGTCCCGAATACAAATCCCATAAGACTTGCCCTATTGTGATAACTGCTATTCAACGCTGCGATTTGCCTCCCAAAGGTTAAAGTCCCGCCAGGGGTGGGTTTTCTTTTTTCATAACTCAGCATTTTTGGACAAGAACTGTGGCGTCAAACAGCAATCATCACAATGAAGCATTTTTTGAAAATTCTACCTGCTGATATGTGCATCCAAATGATTCGGGAAGATTTTGTGATTCTTTGTCGGTGAGCCCAAACTGACACTTCGTGGCGACAACGGCGGGAATCCCGTTGGTGGATAGGTGCTGCGATAGGGTGCACCTCGCCAGTTTGTTGTCATGCCGTTCGTCAACGCACCTGAACGGTATAATAATGAGCTCACCACTAAACTGAGAGAATCCTACAAGAACCTTTAACTCCAACTCACTCTGTCTAACCCTTTATGGAAAAGAACCGACACAAGCTGAGCTCCTCTTATGTAAAAAAATTGCGAAGGCCGGTAGAGCCTTATTACGTCAACACGAAAGCATACTAGGTTTTCCGAGCTGTTCCATTCGTCATAGTGTATCGATTCGCACTCAGCCAATTGGGTCCTGGTGCGAATGTCGCGTGCGCGACGTCATTTACCGAGTTGTTGTCACATGTACGCATGGTATACCCCAGAATGCAGCGTGGCCTACAAAATGACTTGCGGGGGCCTCCAATGTACAAGTCATGCTATTATCCTCCAAAGCGGATCTTGTAGTTACCACCTCCTGGGAGCAGAAGGCTTAGTTGGCTTAAGGGGGAGCCGATCCCCGGACTGCGCGCGTGATTCCTCGACGCTTGGCCTAATACGATACAAAGATGGACGCTATCGTCAAAATATCTATGAAAATAATCCTACTATATATAATCCGCTATGTATGTCTGTTGTATGCCGTGTCTGTGTGTGTGTTCGTGGGTGTGTGTGTGTGTGTCACGAAATTCATAGCGCCCGTCCCAATAGCAGTGAGACATTGATTTCAAGAAGTGTTGTAGGGAGTGTGACGGGAACACTATTGGTGGGTGACAGGAAGTGATATCAGCTGATAAGATCCGATAGACGTTGGAAGGGGGAGGTCACGGGGAGATCACCGTATTAATAACGCGGGTGACAGCATCAGCTAGCTCTTGATTCCGAGATATGATATAGGGTATGGGCCAAGAACATTATTGGTGGGTGACAAGAACTGTAAGCTGCTGATAAGATTCGATAAGGGGCATTAGAAAGGTGAGGTCATCGTATTCATAGCGCAGGTCACAGCATCAGCGAGGCATGCGTTCAGCAAGTGATATAGAGGGTGAGATGGGGACATCAACCGTGGGTGACTGGAAGCGATAACTACTGATAGGGGCTGATAAGGAAGTTGCAGTCGTCGTCGCTGTTCAAGGTGGTTCACGCTACCAAATCTTAGAGATTTGGCGATGAGGACATTGATGACGGGTGACAGGTAATCTTATCAATCGATAAAAACGGATAAGATACCATCTGCGCTACATTTTTATCACTTCTTACCGCTTAATGCCAAGTATTAGAGGCTCAGTAGTACGTGAACTCTTTCCTTCGATGTACGGAATCAAGGTCGTCCCAAATCTTTCTGCTATGTGATGTTGTGATGTGTTAGGAGTTAGCGGTGGCAACTGAAGCGAAATAAGGAGTGTACCCAACAAGCTGGGAGTGGGGCACAAACTTTGGCATGTACAAGCAATGTGAAGTTCTCCTTTTCAGTGCCACTCATGACCCTACAGTTATGCCTCTTTCGGTTGTTATGGACTCATACGTACTAATCAGATAATTACTAATTACTAACTTTACTTTTTGATCGCAGGTGCGGTCTTTAATGATTCTCATGGTTGAAAGTCTTTAAAGCATAAGTAACCAGATGTTGGTAGATAACTGATGTTGAGCTTTTTCAACTCATTTTTCTGGAGTTTAATAAAAAATGACTGCCACCGTTTGGCACATTTAGCGCATTCTAAATCGCCCAAGGGAAAGGTGCCTGGCGAAGCCAGGCCAGCTCGGCGAAGCCGAGCTAAAGAGAAGGAGGAGAGCTCGGCGTCAGCCGGGCGATCCGATTGGTATCTTAATAAGTCCCAAAGAGGACTGGTTGTAACTCACTTGAAACTAAGCTTGTGGTTGCTGCCGCCATCTCACGCATGTTCTGCGTTTGGGCGATACCCGAAATGAGGTGTTGTTTCAGTTCTTCTTGCGCCGCGATCAATCTGAAAACGAGTTTTCATTAATCGATATATCGATAATGGAGTTATAAAAATGGGCATGTATGGAGCTGATACCCACTTCTCTCTCAACTTGTCATTGGCATCGATGATGCTATTCAGATACTCTTTTCGTTCCTCACGTCTTTCTTCGCGAGACGGTGGCCGACTGCTGTCCACAATTTCAAGCTCCGATTGGCCAGATTCTCGAGAAACTGAGGTACGCTGACCGACTGACGTGGACAAATCTTGGACCTGAACGAAGTACGATATTGAGCTGACAAAAAGGCGAATACCGGAAGTTCAAACAGTAGAAAATGGGGACCGGTAGATCCCAGTGGAGGCAACGCGCTCAATTAGCTGATATTTCCTACTCAACAGACCGGACACACTTCAGCTTTGTCACGTTGAATCTAGGTCCTACAGCAAATTTCGCGCACGCAACGTCGTACCATCACCTTCGTCACCACGCGTGGATCTCCTGACCACAACTCTTGGGAAGAGGAAAAGGGAAAATTGGTCAAGGATGCAGCTTGCCGGAAAGGCATTCCCCATGGCTTACACCAGTAAGGTTTACTTCGTTTGGAGTGAAGAAGTAAATGGAAGGCCAGGGTGAAGTGAGTCCGATCTGTCTCTCGAGTTCCTTGACTGGTGCGCGCCATGAGCATACGTCCCTTTTTAGCCTATCACCCCCCTACCTCTGGAAGAGTCTAAGAGTTGATGAAAATCGAGGGAAAAAGTGGATTGACCTAGAGTTTATGTGAGAGAAAAGCGCCAAACTTACATGCAATTGGGCTGAGACGTCTGGGCTGAGCAAGGAGATTGCTGTCTGGACAGCACTTTGGATCAAATTCGACAATGCAAACATCCAATGTGGTTTGATGTCCAGTCGACGTAGCACGGGTTGAATTGAATCCGAAAACGTGAAGATGGCCATGTTTACCTGAAAAGTACAGCAGTAAGATTACCGTATTGCAGGCTGATGCACACTTACATTTTAACACATAATGAAGGGATCCCACGCAAATTTGGAACAGCCAGCGG